CAGAAACCAACGGGTGACGTCACGGACACTACGTCCATCTTTATATACAGTCTATGGTTGGCTCTGACACTCCGGACATTCAACCTTAGTGTGTAGCCACTTGTTAGCATTAAGCTAATGCCAAGCTAGTTCGTAAAAAAAACAAACACGGGAGCACCAGGTGCGTGTGACCGGGAAAGCATGGCGGCACCTCCGGCTTCGAGAGGGAGGAACCAGCCGTCACCTGTCTCCAGAGGAGGAAGGAGAAGGAGGAGGAGGAAGGTTTGGTGCTGAGTGAGTAGACGTACAGTAAGTCCACCACACACGTAACTCTCAAGCTACATTCAGGCAACGATATTTGAGTTTTATTAGCGGTGATGATGCTTCGTCTTACCTGAGGGGAGTTAATACTAGTCAGGTTAAAGACTCACCTCATACATTTCCTGTTGTGTATATTTAAAGGTCAATCTTTAGTGTTGCCTTTAAGAGGTTATACTGTGGTTATGTTGGAATAAGAAACTGTGAGACAGAATTGCAATGCCCCAGAAGGTGATTTGTTTAGTAAATCATCTATTTTCTTATACTTTCCCTCGTCGCCTGTGTTAATAAAAAGGAATTTAAAGCTGGGGGATTATTTCACAGGATCCCCAGGGTTAACACCACTATTTACTCAGTTAAAAGTTACTGTCGTGCAAGTGGAAAACAGTGTATATCGTAAACTATTCATTGTGGGGATTAGTTTAAAATCAAAATAACCCAGTGCTCAGGAACTTAAAGGTTATTGAGGCCAAGGAAGCGATATTTGTGTCCCTTCGGAAAATTTCAAGAAAAGGTCCAGATGTCAGTGCACGTCTGATAGTTGCCTTTATTCAGGTTGAAGTGGTACAAATATCTGTCTTTTAAATTATTAGATACTGCTCGTATGTTGGATCAAACGTTATATATATATATAATGACCTGCTCTGGCAGGAGGGTTTTTGAACCCAAACATAAATACTCCAACGAGAGCAGCAACAGGCTCCAGACCTCGAGTGACTCGCTCTCCTCTGGACGCCCTCCTCTGTTTTCCCTCCTACTCCCTGGTTGTAGCGGCGGGAGCTGTCACTTCTCTTCCTGTTGTTACTCAGACTCGCAGCGGTGCCCCAATTAACAAAAGCCACTGGCTGCTCCCCGACAGACCTGTTCACACGTGGTTAGTCGGCCATTAACCACACACTCATGACAACAGATAGGAATTAGTGAGGCTTATTGGATGCTGCTAATGTGCCGCCAGCTCCCTAGAGACTTGCATAAAAACCTGCAGTAGGAGGACGTTGTAACAAACGAACTCATTTCCTTTCTTTTTATTCTGTCTTTGGTTTTTGTTGTTGTTTTATTTGCTCCTTGTTGACTGTAGCTGCAAATGTGCATCAGTTTATTAAACCTCTTTACCGATAAGAATAAGTTGCATGTTACTGAATTTAGTTGAAGCTTGACAGGAGCCATATGAAAAGTGGAATGTAAATTCTGCACCAAATCAGTCAAGTGTTTTGGAAATAGATCTGAAACTATTGTAGATGCAAATAATCTGTTGCTCTCAGACTGAATCCACATGATCTCAGCGACACATTTGTGCTGGTTATAGGTTTGTTGCCATCTTTTTTTTTAGTTATTATAAAACAGGTATAAAAAGCCTACCCTCTCTAAAACCACGTTTAAATCGGCTGAAGCTGGATTTTTATTTGGATCTGCACAAAATTGCACACACTTGTGATGTCAGTTCCCTAAATATGCATGATTTATTTTTTCGAGATACATTGAAAATAATCCCCAAATATGCAGAATCTGCGCCACAATCGAATGAATTCCCTTTCGGCCCATGTCTCGTCCTTCCACCAAGTTACATAGAAAATCTATTCAGCAGTTTTTGCGTAATCCTACTGACAAGCAAACAGACAGGGGTAAAATCTTAACATGGTTCAATCTTCATGGTGGTGGAGATTTTGATGGTGTCTGCCTCTTAATTGAAGACAACACAACTCCATTCACAAGTTCTCATGTGGCTCGCTGCACGTCGGGGTTGAGCATCAGTAACTACTGTCACATGCTCTGGAAATTTCCAAATTTTTCACCCCTGTCCAATCTCCAAAAACAATCTGTCCTGTTACATATACTGAACTCTTAAACTTAGGCAACTAAACAGCATAATTCCCGATAACGATCGCCTTAATGGAGATGAAAAGACCTTTGTGTACGAGACCTGATGCTTCAACCCGTGAGGATTAAAAAGGGACACATCAAAGTGATTAAGGGCTTCAATAGCACCTATTATCTATGGAGGTTTGGGCCGCCACCTGATTATGACAGCTACAGGCCATAAAACTCCACAGTTTGATAAACACATGCACAGTCTCTAAATCAGTTTGTCTCTCTGATTCTGACTCCACAAGGTGGTGCCAAACCTAACCACGGGTTTTCAACTGCATCTGCACTCAGTGTTATATGATCTACAATATTATGAGCTGACTTTAAGGATCAGTGCCTCATGTGAGGAAAAACCAGTGACTGCATCCCTGAGACTGCGAGAACCCCGCAGAGACGAGAGACTGACACAGAGGCCGGCAACGAAGCATGGAGGGAAAAGGTCGGTCGCAGATGAGGAAACGATCTGAGGGAGATCAAAGAGGACTTTCACCTCAGGCGCCGAAGACTATTTTAAAAGCGGGTCAGGGGTTATGATCTCCTCTCTCTATATGACCACCTATTATCACATGACTGGAATTCCACACGTACCAAGAATCCTCATCAATGGAAAGATGTCAGAGTCGGTGCGTAAACACCAGTGAAGTGTCCATCCAGGACTAGTGTCAGACAGTCTCCAGAGCTGAATGACATCAACGCTGCTTTCAGGGTGTGCACAGGAAGAAAACTGTATTAAATACCTCAGGATTAACCAAAAGGCACAAAGTGGACCTGGGAGGGTGGATCAATAAATAGAGATATTACTCATGAGTGTGCAACATATAAATGGGAGGATATTGTGCTCCGGTTTTTCACTGACATTTGAGTATTTAAACTTAGTGTCGATACTGTCCCGGGCGCCTTCATGGCTGCCCACTGTTCCGTGTGTGGTCACTGTGTGGATTGTGTTCCGTGTGTGCTCCGTTCACATGGATGGTTTAAATACAGAAGTCAAATTTTTGTCAAATGTTTGCATGTTGCATGCTGTGTGTGGGACCAAAAATAGGAATCTTAATCTCTCTTAAAGATCCACTGTGTACACAGTGGTGGTTTACAAGCTAATGCTAATAATTGCACCGGACGATGAATGCGACATGCTTCAGTTTTCTGAAAATATTAAATTGCACAATATGAGCCTTTTATGAAAATGTCAATATCAGATTTTTTCAGTAGGGCTCTAAACCATCATGTGAAATAATCTTAGCACCTGAACCTGTCTACTGTTCCAGGTGTGAATTGCTAATATTAAGTTGTCTGCAGATGTTTCATATTTAGAAATCTGAAAATGTTAAATCCTTCATTTTTGAGAGTTTATGAAAATACAGTAATTGTGGCATATGCAAAAGTTTGCAAACAAGCCCCCACCTCAGCCCCAGGCCTGAAAACTGTATTTTTATTACATTACACATGTTATTATGGTTAATGACACTGTATGTGGAGACACTTGAAAGAAAAAAAAACATGCAGCTAGTTGTCATAGCAACACCTCGCTTCTCCATCCTCCTCTGTCTGTGGGTGGTCTGAACCATTCAGGATTAATCTGGATTAAACCCTGGTTTATTTTACCGAAATAAATGTGAATTAGAAATAACATTATTTTGATCGTCTGTGAATTCCACTCTCACTGTAGGAAACTGTAATACTTCTTAGGTTAAGTCAAACTTCTCTTTTGCTCTTGCTGAATGCAGCCAAATATAAAAATGTAATTTCACACGGATCTTTACTTTTCACAGTATTAACTGCACCTCATGAGAAAAACATACAGCCTGTCTCGGTGTGTGTGGGTGTAATGTATTTTTTAAGAGGCAGCACGTAACCCTGAATGATTTGTGAAGTGTGGAAATGATAAGAAAAGATTTTATTTATAGCAGCTTCAATCTGCCTCGTCCAGCCCCCCCGACGTTTACCTGACATTGTCGTGCTTCTGGATGTAGATCTTGTGAAACATCATGTCCTCCTGCTTGGCGTTTATGTCGGCTTTCATCTCCATGGCAACGTGGCGGGGAAGCACTGAGAGCAGGAGACGCTCCTGCAGGAAAAGCGTGGGGGTGGGGTGGGGGGTTAAGTTCAGTGGACGACTACAAGTGAATTAAGAGGTGGAGGCTGTGCTCGTCTGAGGGGAGGCAGAGGGACTCACATGATGGAATAAGTTCACCACAACAACCTGGTTACTTCAGAGGAAAATACTGGAAACTGCAGAGTATCTACTTCATGAAGTGATCGGTGAATGATCAGACAGGTCGAGTTTGAGATTAAGACCAAAATAAAAAACTATTATATTTATCAAACGTGGTGGATTCTTCTGCTGCAAACTGGTGAGATATGAAATCCTGGTTTATCGTAAGACTTATTTTAATTTAATCACCAACACCTTTCTGGTCCCTCTGCTCTCACATCTCCATCTGTCTCCATAAATCTCGTTCTCTCTCTCACCTGCTGCTGGTTTTCCCTCTGGGAGTGAAGGCGAGCTTGGATGCATTCCCTCGTCTCCTGGAAGGCCTGCCTCTGGGAGCCCTCTGCGGGGTAATGTGTGCACACCCCCACGATGTTGGTGCAGGAGAAGATTAGCACATTGGACACTATCTGTGAGAGAGAGAGGGTGGGAAAGACAAAGTATGGGCATCAGCGTGGGGTCAAAGGAATGTAAGATTCTCATTTTAAATACTGCTGGGCACATTTGCCACATGTCAGTTCTCTTTCTCTCTCATTGAGAGAGAGCTGTGTGATTCAGAAACGTGACAGAGGCAAGATCGAAAGGAAGCATCACAAGGTGGCTGCTTGTTTTTCTTTCCATCCATTAGGATCTTGGACTGGGGGAGGAGAAGCCAAAGCACAAGAGAAAACACACACAGACATGTGGAGAACATGCAAACTCCACACAGAGAGACCCTGTCCTAACCGGGATTCAAACCAAAAACCTTCTTGCTGCGAGGCGACAGCAACCACTGCACCGAGGCAGCACCCTGCAGAATTTACCTAAAGCCCAAATACAAGCATTCACACATGGTCACATCTATCAAGCTCTTATATGCAGATAAATGGGTTTTTACTGCAAACAGAGAATTCTGACTGCTTAGCTGTTCTTCTCCGAACAGGTGCACAACTTCTTGCAAACTGATGACTGGGATTTCTAACACGGAGCAGGCAGGTGTACATGAATCTGGTGCACGAGAGCAGAACACAGATTTAATTTTGAATATACACCTGCGCCTCTCAGGTTTGGTGTTCACGGAGAGAGCGGAGCATAAAGACGAGTGTTACCTACACAACAGTTTACTCAAACTTACACAACACGATATGAAGTAAGATTACATCACAACTCAAGTTTCCAAATGATCTCTGGAAGCTGTGATGCTGACACAAAAGAATGAGCATAAAGACGTCTCAGAGAAATTATTTTAGACACGGGAAAAAAAGAATACTCTCATTACAGCCACATAATCTCTATAATTGTCCCCTCAAATATAGATCAGTAATCACAAGCAATTACCTCTAATTATAGTAAATTCATTTGGAATCATAGGAAGAAAGTACTATGAATTAGAACTGAGACCAAGAGTTGATTAATTCATTAGTTGATCGTTAAGAATGTGAATATGGTTGAAAGTAATTTTTCCACAGTGCCTGTTTGGAATGGGTGGTTTCTGGTTGCATCTTTTCTTTTAAACTGTAACAGCGACGTGCAGGAGTTGAGCTGCACAGAGTAAAGATCTGCTGCTGGACTCAGCCCACATGAACCTGGAGCTGCTGCACAAAGAGCTGTTCACATGTTTCGTCTAAGTTCAGAGAAGCTGGACTCGAGACTCGGTTGTTAAGAACGCGCTTTTGTTGTGATCCAGCCACCGCTGCTACAGAGCACTGGTCGCGTCCTTGGATCGTCAGCAATACACATGTCCGGCGTGCAGTCGGTAAGATGAACAGTCCTTGAGATATGATTTGCACATAAAGAGATTTCTGGAATTAGTAGGAAGTTACTGTGACATGTGAGAGAGAAAAGACTGATTGAATAATTGAGAAATTAAATTGTTGGTTGAAGCATTGAACTATATATATATATCTGCTTTGACGCAGAACAAACTGTCAAAGCCTCGGCTGCAGTATTTGCACTTATCCGAGATATTGGACGCCTCTGACATAATTGCGGTCGATAAAGTGTGACAAGTTACAGGCTCAGCTGTAGGCAGCCCTGCCACATAGGAAACCATATTCCTGCAGTCCATGGACTTATACGATGTGAGTATTTATACGACACAAAAGGCTGTTTATTAAAGAGCCAAAAGCTTAAGGTTACTCCATTCTGATGTTGGCCTGTAGAAGGTGAGGACGTTTGTTTTGGGGCCATCAGACCCGTGATGTGAGATGCTCAGAGAGGATTTATTATCACCACACCTTCTGATTCATATTCCACCTCAGCCGGCCCTCTTGCACGTTGCGCTGCTGCTCCTACACAAACTAAAATAGCTGGTGTGCTCACAGACGCCCACACAGTCTGTATGCCCGAGACCTGCTGCTCTTAACCGGTCGTTGCACTTGCACACTTAAAATAGAGCCCCTGGTTCTCTGCAAGGGGAATGAATGCTCAGTCAAAATGTGATGAGGAGACTGATCTTACTCTTGGCCTGGTTTACCGTCGTTTAGGACAGACATACCGTCCAATGAGCTTTGATGCATTTCACTGAATCTAGACTCCTGTAAACCTCGTCCTTGTGCCAGTTCACACGTCTGAGCCATAACAGAACCACTGCAGATGTTTGTCAGGTGAGATGAGGCCGATTAAGATCCGAGTGTCTGATTACTTTCAACCATTGCAAGAAAGAAAGAACAAGAACATTAAAATAATCGACTGGACTTTATCTGTTCAAAACTAATGAGCAGACACACAATGACCCAGTGTGTGTTGCAGTGTGCAAATTATTAATCCTGAACACAAAAAAAATACATCATGTGTCACAAATTCACCATAGAATTTCAAATTGAAAATAATTCCATCTGAATAAGACAGAAACAGAAATTCATCTAAATAATTCAGCTTTAAACATTTGACTGTGCTGTCACTACAAAGTCTCTATATCTGTCCTCTGACACACACGCACAAGAAATTCAAAAAGCAGAACATTGCAAAAAAAAGATAAATGTTTAAAAAGATATTCAGTGAAATGTGATTACTGATGTGCTGCACATCTTGACTTGCTGCAGACGATGTAAACACACTATCCACACTTGTTGTGTGCATGTAAACATGCTGGGTAGCAGAAGCTTGTAGAAGAAAGGATACTGAGCGTCTGTGGGGAAACCATGTGTTGGTGCACACTTGCATGTGTTTGCTTTATGACAATTTGAGTTCTAAATTTGCACCAAATCACTACCTTCAAGTTTCCACCTTTCAAACCTAAAATACACCAGAGCTGAAAGACAGTGGGAAGCCGGTATTTTTTTTTCCACATTCACACCACCGGCCTCTATGGTGCCGGAAAACAAACACATAAAGTCAAAACCCCCTCAGCCGGCCTTGGTGCGAAAAACAAGCGCGCTGAGAGGGAGGAGCATCTGGTGAAAAAACTGGAGGTGAGACACGACCAAGGAAAGTAAAGAAATGAAGCGTCTAACTGAAATATTGTTCAGTCAAAAGCTCATTCAATTAACTACCATCTCGTAATGGATGCAACTAATATCTTTAGCTGCTTTTCCTGCCAATGTTTGTATTAGTCACACGTAATGGATCATGATTATTCTTTGCCATTTGCTGCGTAAAGTGAATTAAACTTTAATCATATCATCTGTAAACATAATTAGCGCCCGAGTCTCGTCAGGTAGATTTGACAGTGGTGGTGAAGACAACAACTCCCACGATCCCATGCTGCCTTTTCAAACTAGGCCTTTTGCTTTAATTGAGAGACCCCCCCCCCCCCTCGGTGGCTGAACTTATAAATAATTAAGAGGCCAAACTGTTCAGAAATGTACAGAATCTTAATTGTACTCTCAATTAATATTTAAATATTAATGCACAAAAGATTTTTTGTGCTTTAAACATTTGACATTCATGCAATCGGTGCTCTGGAGGAAATACTGAAGTGCATAGCTGCATTATCATACAATGTTAAAAATGGTCCTGGAAAACACGGGCTCCTGCTTCAAACTGGCTAAATTTGACATTTCAAAGGCGGAATGCTGCTACCTGCAGCGGAGCGAGCCAGGATGCAGCTGCACACGGAGCTCCACCAAGCCCTCGTAGCATCCCGCCCCCGCACTGCCATAGAAACGGCATGCATCAGAGAAAAGTCTTTCAACAGGTCAATACAAATATCCCCAGCAGCAGCATCAGCAGCAGAATTTTTTCTATTAATCCTGCCACTGCGTGTTCAATGAAACCTTGAAAGGCCGATGGGCTTTTCCTCAACACAGAGGGAGATGCAGAAAGACACGACAGACAGAAAGATGCAGAGATCATCCGCAGGGGAAAGACGTTTTACTCTATTATTCAATAAGTGCGGAGGAAAACTGGTGGTTGTCATCATTAAGACGTGTAAACGAATCAGTGTCAGCTCAAACTTAACATACGTAATCAGGGAAGAACATTCTCGGTAATTTCCCCAGGTGACTCATGCCTGTTGTTCTGTTTACCTCACGCACGCTGACTCATTTTCATACTACTCGAAAGCTGCTGAATCAAGAGCACTAAGGAGAGTCGTTTCACAGGAATTGGTTAAAGCGAACGCAATTTCAATTCAGCTCGAAGTCCCTGAGTGACCGAGTACCTGCGACAGCAGTGACGCCTCATGTAAGCTGTCGCAGGTGAGATTATGATCAACAAAGAGCTGAATCCCCCCTGAGCAGAGAAAATGTGACAAGCACGGTGCTGCCTGAAATGAAGGTTAGGTTATAAATACCTAACAAATAAATAAATAAAACCTAGTAGAACTTTTTTTTAACATAAATTGTCCGGTTACAGACAATCTATAATTAATCGATATAGATTAAGAATTGTCATAGATAATGAAGGACATATTTTTTGTATTGTGTATTCTGTAAATAAAAGTGTTTGAACAGAACATATCAGCAAACAAATGAGATTTAGGTTAAATCGCTCTTGCTCTAGTCCTGTGGTCCAGTTAATGTTCAACATGTGACCACAACAACTCATCACCACAGATAAATGACACTAACAGATTCACTATTACACTTATTATATTTTAAATTTACAGAAACAAGTTGTATTCACTTAAAATAGATGTTTATGCAAGTTTGTCCAACAGTAAGTGACCCTCAGCTTTATCCAGAACTAAGGACCCTCAGTGACAAGTACATCAGGAACATGTAGTGATAATGAGTCCTGTGATCTTGATTGAAGGAGACGGGGACAACAGAAGGCTGAATCCCTCCACAGAGGAGGAGGTGTGTGTGATTGTGTGCTTTATTTTAGTACGTGATTAATAATTACCAGCCGAGGCCACGAAAAAACAACAGAGCAGAGCATCCAAGGTGTCAATATTTACCAAGCAGTCGGATTTTTAACCTCCCACGTCGCTCCCACACCTTTATTTTTCTGTTTGCACCCACCAGAGCTCGTCCTCTAATCCAGAGCT